CTATTAAACGAGGAACTTTTCCAACGAATTGTTTGCCCGCGAAACAATTTTATTTGTTCCCGTGCCGCGTGCCTCGCCGAGGATCATTTGTCGGGCAAATATTATCGTAATCCTTACCGATGCTTGTCCGGCTTTATTCAAATACGAATGATACATCAGAGCAGAGTAGACATTCGCGATTACGTTTGATGTCCATGTTAACCCGATTAGCTTACTTTCTCAATTCCCGTTTACTTTTGAAAGAACTACGCGTTGCACATATAATTATTTAAAAATCCAGTGAACGAACTGTGTTATATCTTAACAAGGACGAGGATATTCTATAATGCTTTGAAAAATGGTAGGGACACGAAATCTTTTAATACCTTCATGAAAGACCGTAAAGCGACAGTGAATTTATTGCCGTCGAACCGCGCAAAGCTGAAAATGAATTTCCCACCGTGACGGAGAAGAAAATTGTAGTAACTATTTGGTGGTGAGTGGCGTTGGCTCTGTCGATAAAATGGTGGCTAGGTAGTTGGTTCCCACGGTGAGGATAAATTGTTCGATAGCATCCATAAAGGGAGTTACGCGGAAATTTCGACAATTTTTACCGGGCCACGAACTATCCGAATCGATCAGCCGCGGTTGCACGGAAATACGCGCACGTCTATCGTGAGACATGGTACACAAAAGGATGAGAAGGGCCCGGCCGGTCATATTACACTTACTATACCTACTAACAGCGCGGATGGGAAAAGTTGGAGAAGCGCGTGGAACGGAAGGAACGCGTGGGGTCTGTTAAAGTGCGAAACTAAGTGCGAAGTTGTCGGACATGTGTGGCGGAAGTGTTGAAAGACGCGGGCGAGGTATCCCACTACGTCGTTGAGCTGGAAGCTTTTATCGTTCCAAACATGGTCCCGCGCCGCGCGTCGCGTCGCGTCGTACGGCAACTTTTTCTTGTCGACCAGGCAAAAGCTCTTCCGTCGATTGTGTGTCTTCACTCGCGGATACTTCTGCCCACCTCTTCCGGCCGATTAATCTTTATCGATTAACCGGCCTCCTCTTCTTTTTTGTTGCACGATCGTGCAAGGAATTGCTCCGAAGAGAATAAAAACACACGGAGTACGAGTATCGGCGTGGTCGGCCCGCTATTTTCGTGTATTGTAAATGACAAATAATCATGATTAAAAAAATCTACGGGGTTAAGGTTTACGAGACTTAATTGATGTAAAGGATTTTAACTTCGAAATTCGGGTTCGAGTGGAGCGACGAACGACCGTGATTTTAGGGGTATTTCGCTGAGTGACGCGTTACTAATGTAGAACTGTCGGTGAGGATCTTCGCCAAGATTAAGGGAAGCTTCTGCTCCCGCAATTCATTAACGTCTCTAGAGGGAAGGGCGTGATGTCGGAATCGAGTTTACTACGCAATCTGCCACTTCATCACATCATTGTTCGACGCAAACATAATCATGAACACTTGTCTCTATTCTTATTTCACCTCGTGGCTAACACAGTATAAAAAGCAACGAGATTATCTCTTTATTAACTACGACAAAGTTTGTTTCAAAAATTTCACCAACACGTGTCTCATTAACATAACGGAGAATCTAGCTCTGAAGTCCATTCAGTTAGACGTGTCTCAAGCCAACCATGAATTAGCGGTTCTTGTTAATTACATTCCAGTTGTCGGAACTTCCAGGATAGACAATAATAATCGGTGTTTGTTCGGGGGCTAGATTCACTAGAGCTAAACGAATTTCGGGATTCATTTCAAGGACAATCTAATTAGTTCGTGAACAATAGCCGTGACAGAGAGAAACGACGAGGATAGTAGCAACTTGTAACATCGATCAGTCATTGCAAGCTTGTCAACTGGCAACCTAAATCGGTTTTAGTAAAACCCTCTAATCTACTTCGTATTATCAATTATTTGTTCGATCAAGTGATGAAGAAGTTTGATGGTCAAAATAGCAAGATAATTTATCTCTCATCCCTTTTTATGTCAATTATTATCAAAATTGTCTTGAATGAAATAAATATAAATACCCTAACAATTTTTCTTATCATAAATTGGAAGCATGAAGTTGCTATAAATATAATTTGCATTTTTAATATTATTAATTTTTTACATGTTCTACTTAATAATCATAATATTTCTGTGGTATCTTAAATTACTACGTCGATAAATTTCATAATAAATTTCATTCCCATTTTATTAACTTCGCTGTTAAAAGCTGGGGATGCTTACACCCCTTTGAGACTCAGCATCGTATCACGGATTCGGCGACTGACAATTCGGACAACACGTAACATAAAAGTTTCGCATCGTAGAAGCAGCATCTCGTCAGAACTGTAGGTCGAGAAGCTTATCGATGGTTTTACGGTTGGCTCCCTTTTGCCCCTGCCCATTCGATTCAATATCGTCAAAGGTTTACTACTCTCGGCGAGTAGGCGTCGCGCCGCTTTTATTGTGTACCCCGGGCCTACCTCATTCTCGTTTCGACGATCGCTCGTCCCCCTGAATTGCGAACGAGGACGTTTAGGAAACTGCTTCGGCCAGTTTCCTGTTACTTTTGTCGTTTGCTTCCTCGAATAAAAAGGAACGAATAGAATACTGGGAAATTCTGGACAAATTTTATCTACACGTATACAATACACATTTCAGTGAGTAATGTTATATACATTATATAAATATGATGTTCGTTATAGATATCGTCTAGAATATTATATTTTTTCTTAAAAAACTTTGAATAATTTTTTAATAATCTTTCGGACTTAGATGACTAGCCCTTATTTACGTTATTTTGATGTTACGGTCTTCTCGGATATGAGACATGAATGGGTTAATTACGACCCATATATTAAATTTCGTAGTGCTATATTTCGGTACGAAACAGCTTTCTCATTGTCTTCTCATGTTAATTAATCGATCACATGGCTGATGAAGTCATCGCGTATGGATTTATTAATTAAGAGGTAGCCAGAGGTCAGTCGGCGCATGCACCTACATTTATACGTGTACGTATATCCAGCTCGATTCGCTGCTGGGTTTAAATTAGCGAGATCAAACATAATTAAGCGACACGGCCAGATTTAATCTTCGCCGAGAAACCGGTGAATGATTACACAATACTGCAATGCAGAGAGTATGTATACGCGGGTACCGGATGAAGATGGATATTAATATATCATTTACACAGCTTACAATTAGTGCAACCCATAATTATACTAGCGACCGTGATATCTCAGGCATCATTATGTTGGGGTCCGCAATATAGTGTTCTCATCTGGCTCGAAATTATCACTCGCAGAAATGAAGCACCTATTTTTTTTTAAATAATTTCGGTACGTTGTTCCATATTAAATTGATTGTATCAAATGAATTTTAAATGAATAAAATGGAATTTAAGATGGTAAAGAAATATAATAAGACGAAGTGAAATTCCACGGCGATATGAGAGGGTTATAATTAGTAATTCTGAAGGAGCTTAATTTCTCCGACTGAAAGTTCTCCGCGAATCACTGTAGCCACTCGCACGAAAACTTTCCCGGCAGTGAAAGTTCGCCGCTTAGCAATTTCGCGTTCGGGAAATTGATTGGAATATCTCGAAACTTGCGGATTGAAACGAAGAAGTTTCACGGAGGATGCCGAGATAGGAAACGAGAGGCTGGTACCAGTTTTCGCGAGTTCGATTATGATAAACTATCTGTACCACCAAGAATGCTATCGGGATTCTCGGTACAAAATGGATGAGAGGATCAAGAATCGTTCAAGAAACGTGCATTTGAAATGTAGTTTCCAATGGGGAAAAATAAATCGTTTTTAAGGTTGTACAATCATTTAAGATGCCAGAATGTGTTTTAAGTCGCCCAGGAAACTTTCCGCAAGTTGATGTTGTACGTCTTAAAATAATCCGTCCACATTTCTTCCCGTAATCCCTTATCCGGAAAACAGAACAAATTCCTCTGGTAAACTAGCTTCATCCCAAGAAAATTGATGTCCGTCTCTGACTATAATTAAATTTGTGACATTGAACACTAATTATCTTCCATAATGTACTCGAATCTCATCAAATTTTGTTTCACATGCGACAGATTGTAGAAAAACGCCAAAATCTTTTTGTTAAAAAATCGAAGTTCAATAATTTATTACAAATTTCAATGTTTCTTTCTCTATGAAGATATTGTATTTTCGTTTCGCATCTTCTTTAAGCTCCCAGAGCTTCTTTGAGCTAACAGATTTCTTCTCCGTACTTTCATCATAGGTGAGATAGATGAAAGAGACGGCAAATAAATTTTCCCGTCAAACCATAATAAAGCAGCTCATCCTGTGCTTTCTTCTCACTTTTCTTTTTCCTTTTTCAACTCTCGCATCTCCTTTTTCCTTTCCGTCTCGTCAGTCCTCGACCCCGTCTACTTCTCCTCCGTCTCAACTCTCTTATAAGCAAACTCACTTCAAATTGCCCTCATTTTCACCTCCGTGCCTCTCGTCTGAACCGATTCTTTTGCCGCAAAAAAGAATTAAAGATGAGCATGAGATTCGTACACATGATATGTACATATCATGAACAGAATGAAGAACTTTTATCTTTCATTGAAATGAAAAAAGAAATAGAATGAACGAGTTATTATAATTAAAAAAATAAACTACAAACATTCCTTTTAAATATGCTGATTAATCCTTTTAAATTGCCTGCATGATTTTATAAAGTTCATCAAAATCTTCGCGTTATCACGCAACGAAAATTGTTTACCAGTACCGCAGAATAAGGAAGTCTAGTATTTAGTATTCGTCTTAATAGGCGGCTAATTAAGTAAAGACGCGAGGAATTAGCATTGTTCGAGTATGTGCCATTTCACGCGCAAGCAGAGGGTCATTCAAAGCGAGGCTGCGTTTAGTAAACCATTGGCAAACGCTGCGTCCCTGGTTTCCACTTAACCTTAAAACGCGCAATTGTCGTTTAACGAGGTATACCGCAGGCGAAGATTGATAGGGGCTGTTTTGGTCTCTTACAGGGACCGGTTGAGCACTGCCGTGATAAGGCGATCTCGGGACCGCTGCAGACAGAGAAAAGAAAGCGAGTGAGCCGGGTCCTGAACGACGGGAGGGTGTGATTGAATAACCGTGGAAACTTAAACAGAAATTCTGGGTCAAGGTAAGTCTCTTTCCGTCAGAATGCCGAAAGTTCATTCTTTGATCCTGAATTTGCCGTGCTGACCTCTTACGAATCCATTATTGCAAATTTAGAAATCTCGCTCGCGAGAAAGAAAATTGATTAAGATGCAAAGTTTTGATTGCATTAATTAATAATAATAGCTTTCTGTTTTATTTGATTAAAATTCTCCGAGGAGAAGGAATATTACGATAGGAAGTTTTAATCACATTCACTTTATTCCATGTAAATACTTTTTCAGTCTAATATATACATAATGATATTATAAAATATTATACTAATTTTATTACGTGAAAACGGGATTGAGGAAGCATGTTCCGGAGATTCTGGAAAGCTTTCGAGGTTCGTTGGCAATGGCTATTTCAAGTACGTTTAAGCAGAAACAGACTCGTTCCTTAGTTAACTCGGATTAATTTTGGAAGTTCAATGAAGTAACCCTCGAAGAGTTGACCCGTACCATCCGACTCGCGTATCGCGGAAGAGCATCTCACAGGAATAGTTATTAAATTTTGATACTGGGAAATTCCTGACTCTCCACTCCGACAAACTTGCGTCGTTTTGCTTGCTGTATTAGCGACATTGTTATGATGCGTTTGGTATAATGTAGGGAGTTGGAAATTCCCCGAGAGCGGAATACTGTTGGTGAACAACATAATTCATGAGTTTGCACATAAATATACAAATTCCAAATTAAAAACTATAATTACTAATATTATTAATTTAGTTGAAGAGTCACGCGCTTATTCTCAATAATAGTAATTGAAATAATATTTCTTATTACTGGTGATCGTGCGATTAATTATGAGCGAAAACTTTCCCATTATTGATCATGTTGCTAGTCTCAGAAGTAATCCGTAGACAAGAAATTTCCTAACGTCACGGTCCTTGCTTGTGACGTATATAAGTGTGTATGCACATAAATTGAACGAGAGCATTTCAGGCTCTGAGATTTCGACGAACCCGTGGGGCAAGAAATTGCAAACAAGATCTTCTCGTCGTCACCTGACATTAATCTTTAGCGTGCAACAGATGAAACATCGTTGTACATGAATTCCTCCTCGTCTTTTAAATAATAATGTACGCATATAGATAAGTCTTAAGCAATGTAATTGAGGAATGTCCGAAAGTTACATAGGTACTTTTAAATATCCATATTATAATTTGCAATATTATTAAACTGTTAAGAAGTAAACGTATAAAATTGTTAATAGTAGTTTTTAAATTCCTCTTCTGAGATTCTGATACATAGAAGAACAGAGTGTTTTATTTCATTCCAATATTCCAAACTATAACAACACTCGTCAAGGATCGTGAAATAAGAATGCCAAAATTCGTTTTTATTCATTTATTAATCAAAGTTAGTCAGTCTTACAATACATTTACATATTTTTACGTAAAATTTTGAAAATTCTTAGTATGCACATTCACTTGACTTGAGAATTTTGAGAGAAACATCTTAAATGCCTTGTAGAATCCAAGCGCGGAATTCCATCCCACTACCATTGCTAGAAGCAAATGCTTATTTCCTAGACCCGCGTAGCAGGTGTCTAGACGTTTGGTGTGGGTTGGGACAGGTCACTAACTGGGTCAGTGTTCGAGCGAGAGGTCCGAGACGTATGAGAAAGAGAGCGACAACGGTCTTAAAAAAAATTGCGATTGTGTTTACGTGACGTTATTTCCGGAATCAGATCGTGATAAACCAAACAGTATTGGAAATGAGAGATACCCCCGCTGCTAACAACTTATAAGTAATTAAAGTTCTTGGATTTTTAATAAGAAAGGGATAGGATCTTTGCGTATATAAAATTTACAATCGTCCTTCCACGACGATATCTCTAGAACCGGAAGTAAGTATGAATTAATCGGAATTTGAAGCATGAAACTTCACCGATTCTTTTTAGCTACAAATGCATTTCTCTCGGTTATACCTCGAACTATAGTTTCGTTTGCCATGTTGTTGGTCGGTATTGGCAAGGCTTTCTCGACAAGGGTACGTCGTTAAAACGACTTTAGAGCTCCCGCGTATATACAACCGTGGATGTACGCAGTTATTCGCCCACCCTCAGGAAATTGGTTATGGAGGCGCGTCGTGCTATGCGCCGTACGTGAAACCCTTTCTCAACGACGCAGAATAAATTTTTTTGAAAGCCAATGCAACTGAATTTACTCCACGGTCCCTGAGCATGATGCGGGCCAATTAATCACGGTACAAACTTTCCATCGAACATGAATGCCCTTGTCCACTTCCTACTCGAAATAACCAGATAAATGGGATAAAAGCCGGTTGGATTTCAAACGCGACATACCTTGTTTGATGTTGGAATCTCTTTGGTGTTTGAATTCCACGAGATTGCTCTGTTACGTTATTTTCTGGGAAACTGATTTTTGATACATTTTCTACCTGCATGTTTCATACTAGGCAGCACCTACATACGCAAATGACTAAACCTATACATCGCAGGAAAAATTTGACGAACGCGTTCAACGTGTTTTATCGTAAAATGTGTCAATTGGGAACATATTATATAGGGTGTCCCCGGATTAAACGATCAAACTGCACCAGTAGGTAAAAAAAAAGAAAAAATGGTAATTAAACAATGGCCTACAAGCGCTTTATAAAAAAGTTATAATAAAAAAATGAACCTAAAATCAATAGCGAGTTCGTTGTTGGTACATCGAAATGGAACAATTGGCTTGACTCACGGAGTGTAATATTTCAAATATGTATTATCAAGCGAAAGGTGAATGAGAACACAGTTGAACAGTGAAAAATTCGATTTGGACCAGTTAGTGAGTTGTAAATAGGGAAGGGTTTGCAAAGCGTTCCTGTAATCAGAGAAAAATGCGTGCTGAAATTGAACGCGTCAGTTTGTCGCTGCACGTGTATACATATATGTATATGTACAACGACATGGACTTACATACTGTATGGAAGAGTGGCCTCTTATGGTGCTTGTGAACGTTCTCCGGCAACTAGGCCCATCCCGGTAGCTGCCGCTGTGTCAAACATTATGCAGGCAAGCAGAAGCCACTTGAAATGCAAATATTTGCAACGGACGCAATTAAGTCCCTTGTAGAGTGGGAGCGACGAACGCGTTCAGTTGTCGGATCGGCACACGAAAAATATTGCGTTCCGCGCAAGAAAGCACAAGAGAGCCACGCCTCTGCCATTTTTAGCATGCAGATCATCGACGCGTTCATTGAATTAAGTTAAAGTGTTGCAAAATTTTTACATTAGTTTATACATTCAACATTAGTTTTATAGCTGTAGTCGTGACAATACTGGATAAATACGATGTACTCATTTTATAAAGTGTTATTTCTCCATGACCTCACTCACACATTCTGTGCGTGAAACTTTAATTACAAGACAATGGAAGCATAGAGTGAATTGGAAATTTTATTATCATATACATTTCATTATTCATTTTCGTAAATCGGTATTTTTGACAAGTTTCTCAATAATGCCGTATTTGATTCATGCTATTGTCGGATGGAAATAAACACCGAGTTTTATCGAAGAATACTCGTGGTTCATTCAAACCGGCTTTTGCATCAAGCGCTCCGAATCATCAACAAAGTAAAAAAACCTTCACAGCGTATATAAAAACTCGTGAAATACTTTTAGTACCTACACGTATAATCCTCTACAACGAAATCTGTTCATCCTGCATTATATTAAAGCACAAGTGGTAATTTCTTAACGTTATAATTTCCAAGCAATTTTCACTAAAAGCAGAGAATGTGTCTTGATGTGAGGTAAACTATCTGCGGCAGACTTAGCCTGGTCCGTTTTAATTTTCAATTTCCACGAGAACAGGAAGCAACAGCACGCGGCAAGATGCCTCGATAGGAAGCTTCACCACCAGGGAACAATTCTGTCACGATAATTATTTACGAAGCGGTTACGGAATGCCGCGATCGAGTCGATTAAATGTTTAAAACAGGGTAAATCGATTTCCAGTGTTCCTCGAACAAAACGTTACGATCTTTCCATAGCATTATATCTTTGCTTTCTATCGTGCATTTATTATGTAATTAAAAGAATTTCATAAATTCAGTGTCTTATTAAATTTAAACGTATTCTGAAATACTATTTAATCGTATTTACTCGATCATAGAGAATATCCGTATTTCGTTAGTGTTTTCCAGGCAGTTAGCTAAACACCGGAACATATTTGAAACAGTACACCCTCCAAGATAAATGGGCGCAGTTAAGGGATTTTCCAGAGCGTTGCTTCCTAATTCCTTTGATTTCGAAATTCAAACTCCGAATTCACATTTAACGCCGTAAACTATTTGTGACCGTACTCAGCACGAATCTTTAAAGTCGCAATTTTCCATCTGTTGTTTTTTTCCTATTGCGGAAATGTGCCATTATGTACGTGGATCGAAAGGTCCAAAGAGATATCTTTTCGCTGTGCGAATCGAAAGACGATTTATCAGAAGATCCGATTACCCCAGGGGAAGCGTTGTCTGCGCTACAAAACGTTCGAATCCTGTTCAGCGTATTTCTGTGTGGTCATCAACGACGGGGTACGACGATATTCCTGGAGGGAAAAGACATGAGTTATGTAGGATTGTCGCGACCCTCTCGAAATCGTAACGGAGAATCAATAGTCCTTTATTTGGCTGACCAGGCTTTAGAGTTAGACCCTCGGGCTGGGACTTCGTCGTTGCGTCGTATAAAACATAGAAGTCTGCGGGATTTCGAAAATCCTCGGATTGCTCGGAAGGGAGACGTAAAAAAACTTTTGATAAAATATAAAACAGCAAAACACACGAGGTTTCGCGGCAATTTCGCTTCGTTCTCAAAATGGCTGATTAGTAAATGTTAACGTTTTCGGTTGTTAGTGAAAATTCAAAAGTATGTCTTATAAAAAAGGAAAAAGAAATCCCGGGTTTCGGTGAAGAAAATTTGTACGGAGTGGAATCATGTTGCAACACCCATTTTTGGAACTTAAGGTGACCATCGTGCGAAA